GGCAGCGCACCGCTCCTCACTCCTCCGAGTTTCCTCCGACCACTGCTCCTTTGCAGACTCTCCACATGGACGTGTGGGGCCCGGCCCCTATCGGTGGAACGGACGAGGAGTGCTACTTCCTGCTGGTTGTCGATGATTACACACGCTACACCACAGTCTTCCCCTTGCGGACATCAGCGGTGTTTTGATCCCCTAGATCCGTGCTACTCGTCACCAGCTGTGCAAGCGGTTTCATCGGGACTTGTCCGTCCTGCGTCTCCACTCTGACAGGAGCGGTGAGTTCTCTTTCGGCTTCCTTGAGGAGTTGTGTCGAGACGAGGGCATCCGCTAGATGTTCACGCTTCTGGCCTCTCCCTAGCAGAATGGGATTGCTGAGCATCACATCGGCTTGATCATGGAGGTTGCTCGTACCTCCATGATCCATGCGGCTTCTCCCCATTTTCTGTGGCCGTTTGCGGTCCGATACGCCGCGCATCAGCTCAACCTCTGGCCGCGTGTCTCTGAGCTAGAGCCACCCTCCGGTGGATGGGGACGGCTGGCGATGCATCGGTGTTTCGGGTCTAGGGCGCGCTCTCCCTTCGTCGGGATGCCAAAGCGAGCAAGCTCTCCTCTCGCACTCTCCACTGCGTCTTCCTTGGCTTACCCAGCGACGCCCCGCCGTGGCAGTTCTACCACCCGCGCTTGCGTCTAGTCTTTTCCTCCCAGTTCGTCACCTTTGACAAGTCTGTCTGTTTCTACAGGCTACACCTGCACGCGTCCCACCCGGTCCCCCTCGCGCCTCTCTTCCTAGTACCAGTCCCCCCTCTCCAGTAGACCCCCACCCCCCACAGGGTGCTTCTCCCTCAAGTGTGTCTCAGGTACACCCACCCCCCTTGGTTGAGCCTCTAAAGATTGAATCCTTTGGCCTAGCTGAGGGGGATGACCCCGCCGTTGACGACACGGCGGCCACTCGCCGCTCTCCACCCTTGGAGACCCCCCCTGGTTTTCCGCCTCGGCCATCTTCGCCGCCTCCGCAGCCTGTTGCTGTGGACTATGGAGCTGAGACTGCTGGTGCTGAGCTTGAGGGTGCTGAGACAGAGGGTGAGGGTTCTGGGGGTGCTGCGCCTTGGTGTGCTGCGACTGGGGGTGCTGGTTCTAGGGGTGCTGTGACTGGGGGTGCTGACTCTGGGGGTGCTGCGAGTCCTAGTGGCGGTGGAGCTGTGGGTGACCCTGCTGGAGGTCCTGCAAGTCCTGGAGGTACTGGAGGTGCTACTGGTGCTGGAGCTGCTGGCACTGGAGGTGGTGGTGCTGCTGGTGTTGGAGGTGCTGGAGGTGCTGCTGGTGCTGGAGGTGCTGGAGGTGCTGGAGGTGCTGGAGCTGCTAGTGCTGGAGGTGCTGCTGGTGCTGGAGGTGCTGGAGCTGCTACTCCTAGAGGTACTGCTGGTGCTGGAGGTGCAGGAGCTGCTAGTATTGGAGGTGCTGGAGCAGGTAGTTCTGGAGGTGCTGCTGGTGCTCGGGCTCTTGGAGCTACCACTACTGGAGTTGCTGCTGGGGGTGCTAGAGCTGGTAGTGCTGGAGGTGCTGCTGGTGCTGGACCTGCTGGTGCGCTTTGCCACCTTCTCGGTCTTCCGCCAACTCCCATTGAGTTCCCAGTCGCTGGTACGACTCCTCCGTTACTGTTCCCACAGCTACTGCCTCACTCCCCACTGCCTGCTCCTGCTCCTTACACTGTTGTGACAAAGTCCTTGACTGAGCGTCGAGAGTCTGAGACCTGTGCTTCCACTCCTAAGCGTCGAGAGCCTGAAACTAGAGCTTCCGTTCCTGCTCGTGGTCGTCGTGTGCATTGTCCTCATGCTCCGGCTGTCCCAGGCACTCACGATATGACACTCCGTCATTCCTGTGTTCCACGGCGTGTTGTTCTACCGTCACCTCCTATGTCTTCTCTTCCTAATGTTGCGGACCCTTCGTCTGACCTTGCTCGTGCTTCCAATCCGTCTGTCACTCGCTTGCTTGCTACAGTTGTGACGGACCCCTACGTTCTCGTCTCCTGCTGCGTCTGCCTTAGTCGCTGAGCTAGTTGACTTTGCTGCTGCACGCCGCCTAGACTACCTTGCGAGTCTTGTTTCTGACCCTGACCCTGTCTGTCCTCCGTCCGTCGGGGGTGACGTTGCCCTTGGCTGTGACGTTCTTGAGGACAAACAGGAGGAGCTGGAGTGTCTTGCGGCCGCTGCACCTCATCTCGCGACCATGCTGCTTGTCCCTGAGGGAGACCCGAATGCACTTGACATCCCCACCCCGCTCTTACAGAGAGGCAATCTCAGGTGAGTACTCCTCTCAGTGGCAGACAGCCATGGACGCAAAGATGGATTCCTAGAAGTCCACAGGCACCTACGTTGACGAGGTTCCCCCACCTGGGGCGAACATCGTCAGTGGCATGTGGATTTTCAGGGTGAAGCGGCCGTCGGGTTCTCCGCCTGCCTTCAAGGCACGTTACGTTGCTTGAGGCTTCAGTCAGCGTGAGGGGGTCGACTTCTTTCGGACCTTCTCTCCCACCCCAAAAATGACTACTCTTCGGGTGTTGCTACACGTTTCAGCTCAGCGTGACTACGAGCTGCACTCCCTCGACTTCTCGAAAGCGTTCTTGCAGGGCAGCCTCCACGAGGCCATCTGGCTGCGCCGTCCACCAGGCTTCACTGGGTTGTTTCCTGAGGGTACTCAATGGAGCCTACGGCGACCAGTGTACTGCCTCTGTCAGGCACCTCGCGAGTGGCACGACACACTGACGACAACACTTGCGGCTGTTGGGTTTGCTCCTTCGACTGCTGACCCATCGCTGTTTGTGCGCACCGACACTACCTTTCCGCCGCTCTACGTGCTCGTGTACGTCAGCTACTTGGTTTTTGCTACTCCTGACACAAAGGCGTTGGCTCTAGTGAAGGCGGAGCTGCAGGAGAGACACACCTGCACTGACCTGGGTGAGGTGCGGAGCTATCTTGGCTTGCAGATCACCCGGGACAGAGCACAGCGCACCATCACCCTGACTCAGTCACACATGGTGCACCAGGTCCTCCAGTGCTTCAACTTCCAGTACTACTCGCCACAGCCCACTTCTCTGTCTACTGGTCACTCACTCTCAGCTCCACCTTCGGACGAGTCCGTAGAGCCGAGTGGTCCGTACGCAGAGTTTGTGGGTTGCCTTATGTACCTGATGACGTGCACACAACCTGGCCTCGCGTACCCTCTCAGCCTCCTGGCTCGCTATGTGGCACCTAGGAGATACCAAAAGGTGCACTTCGATGCTGCGAAGAGGGTATTGCATTACTTGTGCAGCATATCGGGCATGGGGCTCATGCTTGGAGGACGTGGTTCAGTGGTACTCACAGGACACTTTGACGCTTCTTGGGCCGATAACCAGGCGACTCAGCGTTCGTCCCACGATTACACCTTCAGTCTTGGCGTTTACACCAGCGTTCAGGTCCACTCGTGGAGGTCCACTCGTTCTTCTTCTGTGCTTGGTTCCAGCTGTGAGGCTGAGATCTACGCTGAAGCCATGGCTGCACAGGAGCTACGCTGGCTGACCTACGTGCTGACTGACTTTGGCGAGCGGCCTCGTTCTCCTCCAGTTCTGTACATCGACAACAAGGCAATCCGTGCCTTGTGTCGCGAGCAGAGACTGGAGGACAGAACGAAGCACATTGCTCTTCGCTACTTCCTTGCGCGTGAGCTGCAGCAGCGTGGTCAGCTGCGCCTTGCTTACGTGGCCTCTCGGGCCAACACTGTTGATGTCTTCACTAAGGTCCTTGGGGCTGGTGATCATCGGCGTTTCTGTACTGCTCTTGGGCTTGTGCCCACTCTGCCTCACCTGTTGGTTGCTTGACTTGTCTTGTACAGTGATGTATATATATATACCTGCATGCTTGCTCTTGCTAGGTTGTGATCACTGTACTGCTTGTGCTTTTATAACTCTGCATATGAACTGGCCTTGTGGCCACTTGCTTGTGCTCAGAACGCGTGGTGACCTTGTGATCCACCCTGAGCTTTGCTTTGCTTGTTCTCTTGCTTGACTGGTCTTGTGACCGTCTGTTGTGTTTGCTATCTCCCACTTAGCCTATGGGGGTGTGTCAAACTATATGTTTTTGTTTGCATTTCTCTAGGCCACATTGGGGCTATCTTTAGGGGGTATAAAAACCATCTCGATACTTTCCTTGTACCCCCCCCCTCAACCTAATCGACATCATTCTCTCTACTCTAGTGACCTAGGCTAGTCAACATTCTAACACTGAACCGGCCTTGTGGCCGTTTGCTTGTGCTCGGAATGTGTTGTGATCTTGAGATCTACCCTGAGCGTTGTGTTGTTGTTTCTCTTGACTGGTCTTGTGACCCTTTGTTTCCCTTTCTAGTTCTTGGATGCACCTCACTTAGCCTATGGGAGTGTGTCAAATAATGAATGCATCGTTAGGCTTCTAGGCTACAGTAAGTTGGCCTTAGAGGGTACAATACTTTCTAGGTTACTCTTTGTATCTCCCTCACTTTTCAATCATCACAATCCTCTCGACATTGGTTCCTTCCTAGGCTACTTTAAGACCTGGTAGCACAATGTAAGGGGTTCATTACCAGTATACCGCGTGTCACCGTGGAAGGGGTATATTTATGCAAACAGGTTCTACTACGGTAGTACCGTATTAATGTGAAGTAAAAGTTCAGGGTTTACGGTAGCACAAGCGGAATTGATTGGACTACGGTAACATGAGAGTGACACGAATAGCAAACCCTGAAAGTGTTGTACACACTAATGAGCAACTCAATCTACGGTGGCTTAACACTACCGCGAATAGAATTTGACAATGGGGCCCAAAAGCACCACCAGACGGATCATCAAGGAGTTCCTGTCCTGACCTACGCCCCATATCATGAAGGCCAACCATCTGTTACTACCAGTCTATTCTAGGGTACCGTAAATGAATGGGGACGTGTTATAATATGGCGATGGGTTTAAAAACAAAGAGGGAGCAGTGATGTGCTCAGCTGTCAAAGCTCCCATCACAGGGCGAATGCTCGTACCATTCCTTCCCTTTGAGAAAGTCTTCCAGGCATGGAGGCACGTGGGGCATGGGGCCATCGCAAGTGACTCTGAAATGACGGAGCAACGTGAACTGGGAGAGGAAAGGCGGGAGAGAGTGCAAGCGGCGCCAGTGGAGGAGGTCGAGACGAGTGAGGCGGGAGAATTTGAGCAGCGAGGATGGGAGGTGCGGCAGGTCGCAGCGGCAGATTTGAAGCGTGGCGAGGCGAGGCGGGCACGTGAGATAGGGCTGGGAGCAGCCTCTGGTGATGTTGGAGAGGCGGAGGGTGTGCAGGGAGGAGAAGCAGGAGAGGCATGCAAGGAAGTCCCGGCAGTCAGCGTTGTCCACCACCAGAGTGGTCAGCGCCGTGAGCTGCGTCAGGTGACGATCACTGTCATATCCCGACAGCTTTGCACTGTGCAAGTGCAGGAAGCGGAGGTTGGCAGAGCAGCCACTCTCCACCTTCCAGGACACATATCGGCTGCCAGCGAGTGCCATGTGCTCCAGGGCAGGGAAGAGATCCATGTCGACGTGGGAAGAGGGGCCTGAGTTGCCGAGCAGCTGCAGCACCTTGAGCTTGGGAAACACAGGCGCCGTCCATTCACCGCTGTCTGTGCACCACGCGCAAAGATTCCCCTCGGAGTAACGGATGAGGTCGGCGCGCACGTCGAGCTGCTCCAGAGATGCTGCCACGCGCGCTATGAACCGAGCGACGTACATGGGATGATCGGGGCATTGCACGCGCAGGCGACGCAGGCGGGGCAGGTGGGGCAGGCAGGGTGAGTCGGAGCTGTCGCAGCGGCTGTTGCAGGCGAGGAAAAGGTCCTCCAGGCGAGTGAGACGAGAGAGGTCGTTTGCGCAGTGGAGGGATGGGAGGGAGAGCGAGGTGAGGCGGGTGAGGTGGGGAATGAGAGAGGGGAAGAATTGGTAGTGGGAGAGAGAGAGGGAGGTGAGGTTGCAGAGAGGCAGCAGTCTCTCTTCAGTAAGTCTCGAGGCAACACCTGCATTGGCAAACCCATTTCTTTGCTCCTCCTCCTCCTCATCACCATCATCACCATCATCCTCTCCCACCCCTTCCTCCTCTTCCCCCCCCTCCTCCTCCTCCTCTTTCTCCTCCTCCTCCTCCTCCTCCTCGTCATCATCATCCAGTCCCGGAATCCAGAGGTTGGAGTCGAGGCGAGTGAGGGAAGTGAGGCAGGAGAAGGAAGAGGGCATGGTGAATACGGGGAGGTGCAGGGAGAGGGTGGAGAGGCAGGAGGGCAGACCCAGCAGCAGGTCGCCAGACACGCTACTCCAGCTGCTGCCGTCCTCAGGAAGGTAGTAGCGGTGGAGGGTGTTAGGCACGTACAGAGAGAGCGAGCGGAGGGAGCAGAGGTGGGCGAAGGGGGAGGGGAGGGAGAGGCAGGGCGGCATGGGGTCTGCTGGGAGGGCGAGGGCGAGGGAGGTGAGGTGTGAGAGGAGGAGGAGGGAGGAGGGAAGGCGGGAGAGAGGGAGGGAGAGGGCAGTGAGTTGCGGGCAGCGGAGGAAGAGAGAGTCGGGGAGTTTGAGTCGGTCTGTGAGGGTCTCCCCTTGAACGCACAGCTGGTTGAGTCCCCGGCATCTCTTGATCACGGCAAACAGCCCCCTCTCCATCTCTTGATTCGCCTCCGTGCCAGCAGCCTCCCACCAGCCGTCCTGCCAGCCTTCCGGCCCATTTCCCCACCTGTATTCGGGTAGAAAACCGGGCTCTAGGAGCAAGGAGAGGGAAGTGAGAGCAGGGAGAGCGGCAGCAGCAGCGAGCAGAGAGCGCAGATGAGAGGGGCGGAGGGGGCGGGTCGTGGTGGAGACGAGGGGAAGGGCGAGCGTAGAGAGGTTGGGGTAGCGGGCGAGGGTGTGGGCGAGGGAGGCGGGGGAGGGGAGCGAGGAGAACCAGATGGGGGAGAGGTGTTCCTCGGCGCTTAGATAGTGGGTGAAGCAGGTGGAGAGGGAGGAGGGGGTGATGGAAGGGGGGAGGGTGAAGGGAGGGTGGGAGGAGGGGAGCAGGGAGAAGGGGGAGGTGGGGGAGGAGTGGATGACCCAGAAGGGAGAAACGGAGGGGAGCCACGTGGAGGAGAAGAGAGGAGAACCGTTGAGACCTGCTGCTGCTGCTGCTGTTGTCTCGTGGTGGCTTATCCTGCTGGGACTGCTGCAAACAGGCTTGGAGGAGGAAGAAGTGGAGGGAGGGGGGTGGAGCAGGGGGATGGGCAGCCAGGCGAGTGAGAGGGGGTGGAGGGCGAGGGCGAAGCAGGAGGTGTGGAGGCGGCACCAGTGGTGCCACTCGCGGCACACCAGTCTCACTTTCGCCTGCTCCACAGGACTCTGCACCCGCTGCACCACGCTTTGCAGCACCTCCCATGGCAGCTGCAACAGCTGTGTACCGTTGGGAGTGCTGCTGTCATCACTGTTGCTGATTCCGCTGTTCTCTGGTTTTAAGTTTGGTTGGTCGTGCGAATCATGATTGTAGTCATCCGCGTCCTTGCATGAGCCTCTCACCTTCACCTCCTGTACCCCTTGCACCAACTCGCCTCCCTGCTCCGCCTCCTGCCGCCGTTCTTCCTCCTCCTGCTGACGCTCTTCCTCCTCCTGCCGACGCTCTTCCTCCTCCTGCCGACCCTCTTCCTCCTGCCGACGCTCTTCCTTCTCCTGCTGCTGCTGCTCGTCCTGCCCCTCTCCTACAACCTCACTCCACTCCCACTGCTCTTCCGCCTTCCTCCCCACCTGCCTCCACCACTCCCTCTGCTCCTTCTTCTGCTCCTCACTCAACACCGATCCCTCAAACACACTCTGAATTATCATCTTTCTCTTCCTCTCCTCCTCAATCTCCCATTCTGTCTTCGGTTTCCTCCCTTGATGCCCCTTCCTTTTCTGCTCCTCCTCCTTCTCTCGCACCCACCCTTTCCCCTGCAGGTACCCTTCAAGCTCCAGGGGCACCACAACAGGGTTGCAGCCACGGTCGAAGGAGAAGTGGGTGAGGGAGGAAAAGGTCGAGAGGAATGAGGGGAGGGCGCGGAGCGGCATACACTGAAAGAGGTGGAGGCGAGTGACGGAGGAGAAGAGGCGGAGGCAGTCGGGGAGGAAGGGAGTGTGGGAGTGGCAGATTTGGAGCGATTTGAGGTGGGGAGGGCAGGAGAGGGCGGAGTGGTAGTTGTGCATGGAGAGGTTGAAGATGCGGAGGGCAGTGAGGGCGGGGAAGAGGGCGAGCGACGCGAGGAAGCGCGAGGAGTGTGGGTAGGACCCCACTATGAGCGTGCGCAGGTGGGGCAGCACGGGCAGGGGGGCACGTGGGGGGGAGTGGATGCGCAGGAAGGTGAGGTTCGGGAGGAGGTGCGGCAGGATGGTGGGTGCGTGCATGGGCGGGTGGGACGGCCGTGGGGAGTCATGGATGGCCAAGTGGGTCAGGCGCGGCAGCATACCCATGAATGCGAGCGTATGCTGCGGCTGCGGCTGCTGCTGAGGCTGCTGCTGCGGCTGCTGCTGCTGCTGCCGCTGCGGGCCAGTATCCTCTGGTCTTGAGGGCCCTTGCCCTGAGTGAGAACATGCATGGTTTCTCACGTTGACCAACACAAGCTCCTCAAGAAAAGGAAAGAAACACGCAGGTAGCTTATCCGCTCCACCACATGCGCCCTTCCCCACATCCCCCTCCCCTTTCGCCTCCCCCAATGCCCCCCCCCATCCTTGTACAGCCACGAGGGGCGAGCCTTGGATCTTGAGGGACTGCAGCTGAGGGCACAGCCGGCCCCACACTGCCAATGGGATGACGCCAGCTGTCCCCGTGAGAATGACGTGGCGGAGGGAGTCTGACGAAGGGGTTGCTTCGGGGCTTGTGGGAGGTTCGGCGAGACCAGTTGCAATTTTGGTGTAGCAGAAGGTTGGTTTGGCGGGACCCTCACCATTCACGTGCAGATGAGACAAACGGGGCCACTGGGTGAAGAGAGCGAGAGAAGCGGGGGATTGGAGAGGGGAGGCGAGGGGGATGGAGAGGAGAGTGAGGGAGGAGAGGGAGGAGAGGCAGGGAGGGAAGGTACGGTGAGCGAGGAGGGAAAGAGAGGTCAGGTTAGAGAGGGCAGCAAGGCATTGATGGTGCCGCTGGTGGGGGTGTGTAGAATCGTCGCTGCTGGAGGAACAGCAGCAGCGGCAGGAAGAGGAGAGGGAGGCGTGCGGGGCAAAGAGGGCGTTGAGGCCCATGCAGTGCCACTCGCCTCCCACGTTGGTGGTGAGCTGCTGCAGGCGCGTGAGCGACCACAGCGAGGCAGGCAGCCACCCCACCACCGAGTCCTCCCCACCCCACCCATCCCCCACCCATCCGCCTCCATCCTCCTCCTCCTCCTCCTCCTCCTCCTCCTCTTCCTCCTCCTCCTCCTCCTCCTCCTCCTCCTCCTCCTCCTCCTCCTCCTCCTCCTCCTCCTCCTCCTCCTCCTCTCGTCCTCCTCCCTTCCGCTCGCCGTTACCTCCTTCACTCTCCCTCATCCCCCCACCCCCACCCCTTTTTCCCTGCGCCCTCACACCACGCCTTTTCCTCCTCATCTCTTCCCCCCCTGTCGGCTTTGCACACACTAGGAACGTTAAAGACGACAGGGTCGGTCCGAGCCCAGCAAACAGGTCCGGCGAGAGAGGCTCGAAAAGGGGGGTGGTGGGGGTTCCAAGGGAGAGGTGGAGGAGGGAGAGGCGGGAGAGAGAGTGGAAGGGGCGACCGGAGAGGAGGAGAGGGTGGTGGGGAGCAGAGAGGGAGAGACGGAGGGAGCGGAGGGAGGAGAGGTGGGGAAGGAGATAAGGCGGGAGGTCGAAGAGCGGGAGCGAGAGGTGGGCGAGACGGGAGAGCAAGGCAGCTACTTCTTCACTCATTGTGAGGTAGTTGTTGCTACAGAGGACGAAGTGCAGTGAGCGTAGATGCGGACAACTCGTTATAAGCTGCCTCATCTGCTCCGCCTGAGCGTGCTTGTTCCATCCCCAATCACAGAGCTTTTTCAGGTGAATCGGGCACGAGGCACTAGACGGCAGCTCGTAAACAAGGTGCAGCGACCGCAGGTTCACGCAAGAGCGCGCCAAGCCCATAATTTCCCCAATATGCCACGCGCGGCCTGAGTATCTGCCGGTTGTCACGGGCATGTGCAGCGCGCTGACGTGCTGCTGATTTCGCGGCGACAGCAGCTGCTCGAGTCGCGTGCGCAAGGCAACGGGGAGCGGAAGGGGCGAGACATGATGCGGGTCGATGAAGGGGCGGGACGATTCAGGGTCGTGGCAGCCGTAGTTGCAATCGTAGTACCCCCAGTCGCACATCACCGTCACGCGCCTCAGCTGCTCCATGCCCATCAGCTCGTCCACTAGGAACGGCGCTGCATGCCGCCCCTCTGCTGCTGCTGCTGCTGCTGCTGCTGCTGCTGCTGCTGCTGCTGCTGCTGCTGCTGCTGCTGCTGCTGCTGCTGCTGCTGCTGCTGCTGCTGCTGCTGCTGCTGCTGCTGCTGCTGCTGCTGCTGCTGCTGCTGCTGCTGCTGCTGCTGCTGCTGCTGCTGCTGCTGCTGCTGCTGCTGCTGTTGCTGCTGCCGCTGCCGCCGCCACCGCTTCCGCTGCTGCTGCGCGCACATCTGCCTCGGCTGCGCCTGCGAGTGGTGCTGGTGGCGAGGATGGAGGTGGCGGGTGGGAGGGGGAGGAGTCAGAATTCCTTGCCCAGGTCTCCGCGCGCGGCGGACCTTCCATGTCAAGGCGCGGCGGGCCTTCCATGTCAAGGCGCGGCGGGTCGTCCGTGGTCCACAGTTTCGGCCGCGGCGGCCAGCGCGCCTCTTTCAAAAAGTCATCATGGCACCTGTAGCGCCGGGCGCACGCGTCCCCGTGTCGCAGCTTCACGAGCCGCCATTGAAGCGCGTGCGCGTCGAACAAGCACGCGAGCCCTGAGTTGCTCATTGACCCGCCGTCGTAGCACGTTCTGCTATATTCAATTTTACTCTTTATAGCTCCGTATCTTCAACTTGAAGAAGATATATGTTACCTATAAGCTCGCTGCTCGCGAGCAGCCGCGGGAAACGCAACAGTCGCGCAAGTCCTCGCGCTGAAGAAATGACGGGGAGCGATGGGGAAACGAGCCTAGCCGATCGTAGAGGCTCGCGATCGTGGGGGAAAACACAATTTCTAGTACTAGTAGAGGCAAAAGTAGAGTGACAGATACTAAAACATTAAAACCCAGGGTCCAGGTTTCAAAGGTAGGAAGGTTGGTTGGACTTAGTGACAAAACCAAAGGTAGGAAGCTTGGTTGGACTTTGTGACCCAACCAAAGGTAGGAAGGATGAGGCAAACTCGGGATACTTGAGACTCCGGTTTTAAAACACAATAGTCGTCCATCGTTGTATAGTACGACATTGGTTGGTTGTTGCTGTGTGCGAGTCCACTCCGTGACTTCGCCTCGTTGTCAAGCAAAATCTGACACGAAACAAGCGGCGAACGGTGAATTTCATTTACGAATCGCGACCAATCTCCAGACTCCGCGCGACCGTAGCGAAATCTGACACGCTGGCAAATCCAGGTTTGACCAGAGCGGAATCCCATTTCGCGCACCTACCGTGCCGTGTGTGATTGTTGAGGGGGGCTGGTGATGAGATTTAGGGGTTTTGAACAAACTTGAATATGTGGAATCCCTGTTGGTGCCCCCTTTCGGTGTGACCAGATGGCCGTGAAGCCAGCCTTCCACGTCCATTTCCTGGCGTTTTATCCCGACTACAAACCAACAGCTTTATTTTCTGAGAAGGCCCCACTCCATGTTGATGTTATAACCGACGATCGAAGTGAATAGGAAAAAGTCACCAAGTGTGAAAGGAGAGAACTGTGAAGTCTCTATAATGACCTTGTTAATAAATTGAAAGAGAAAGAGATGATTATAAGATAGAAGTACAATGATATGAATAGTAATCCTAGCTAGCCATGTACTCTGAGGGGTACATTCCCTTATTAACTGAATTGCATTGCTACAGTAGCCACGACTATTGCCATTCTAGACAGTTACCATGTTGCATTTCGCAATTGCCTTGTGCGGTTACTGGGCAGTCAAGGGTCACGACCGTTGACTGTCTTCGAATGTTGACCTTCGGGTGACCCTCGACCTTCCGCCTGCTCTATATGAGCTACTGCGGTACTAGTACAGGCGTTCACTTCATTATGGAGTGACGCAAGAGTGGAGTGTCAGAACATTATAGATTATACTTTTGTGTAAGCTGTAGTGGGGTATCCCATAGGAGGTACAACCCAATTATGGTTAGTACTTGTACCCACTTCATTCATAGTTCATTCATTCTCGTTTCTTCTCATGGTATCGAGCAGGTTCCCTCGTGGGAACTGTGCCTAGGGCCCACCAAGTCGAAAGTTTTTTTTTTTCTCCTGCCCGGAGCGCGCCCAGCCCGAGTCGCGCTCCCTTCCTTGACTTCGTCGAGCCGCCCTAGCGGCCAGTCGCGCCGCCTTAGCCGCCCCTGTTTCGTTGCCCTAGCGACCCCGTCGCCTTACCTGCGCCTCAGCCCCGTCGCCCTATCTGCGCCCCGGCCCTGTCGCCCTATCTACGGCCCGGCCCCGTCGCCCTACCTACGATCCGGCCCGACCCCGGCGCCCTACCTGCGGCCCGGCCCCGGCACCCTACCTGCGGCCCGGCCCCGGCGCCCTACCTGCGGCCCGGCCCCGGCCCCGTCGCCCTACCTGCGCCCCGGCCCCGTCGCCCTACCTGCGCACCGGCCCCGTCGCCCTACCTTCGCCCCGGCCCCATCGCCCTACCTGCGGCCCCGCCCGAACGCCTACGCAGCCGAGCCGCCAGCGCCTCTACGCCGCCCGAGCCGCCCGAACCGCCCGAGTTGCCCGAGCCGCCCGAGCCGCCCGAGCCGCCTGAGCAGCTGAGGAGCCGAGCCGCGGATGCCGCCGAGCCGCAGTTGCTGCCGACCTACCCGAGCTGCCCGAACCGCCCTGTCTCGAGAGCGCAGCGCTTCTGTCACCGCACTGCCCCTGCTCTACAACTAGAGCTGCTAATCTACTGCTGCCATGGCTACTCCCAGTGTTCTCACTTTCGACGTTGAGGGTCGGGCCATTGACTTTGACGTCTAGGTAGATGACCTGCAGCTGTTCTTACAGTGCGATAGGGCAGACGGCCTCTCTCTCTTTGACCTCACCTCTGGCGCCTCTCCTGCCCCTGCTGCTGATGCTGACGCCACTGTTCGCTCCCAGTGGGCCACACGCGACGCTGCTGCACGTCTTGCTGTGCGTCGCCACCTCCCTACCTCCGAGCGTGCGCACTTTAGTCAGTACAAGAGGGCTCAGACCTTGTACGACGCTGTAGTTGCGCGCTACTCCTCCCCTGCCACTGCTGCACTGAGCCGTCTCATGCTACCGTACCTCTTCCTTGACCTTGCTGCCTTTCCCACAGTTGCTGACCTCATTACACACCTCCGCACTAGTGACACTCGCTACCGCGCTGCGCTTCCTGCTGACTTCTGCGCCAAGACCCCCCCCCCCCCCCCATGTACATCACTCTCTACTACATAGTCACTCGCCTCCCTGACTCTCTTCGCGTAGTCAGGGACCACTTTCTCTCACTCTGTCCCACCACTCTCACTGTTGACCTCCTCGAGAAGTCCCTCCTAGTGGCCGAGAAGAGCATAGTCGCTGTAGGGGCCTCTCGTGGTGACCCGCGCACCCCCATCTTTGAGGGGTGTTCCCCCTCCCCCCTTGTGCCCTCTGTTGCCTCTGCTGCTACGGCCGACCTGCTTGGGCTTGAGTCGGTCGGTGCGGCGTCTGCCCCTAGTGGGCGACGCCGCCCTGGCAAGGGCAAAGGGGGCAAGGGCGCTGGAGGAGCGAGCGGGGGCGGTGGAGGTGGAGGTGGAGGCGGAGGGGGGAGTGGGGGTGGTGGTGGGAGTGGAGGTGGGGGTGGCGGAGTCGGTGGCGGCAGTGGAGGCGGAGGCGGTGGCGGCGGTGGCAGTGGGAGCGGAGGTAGCGGAGGTGGTGACAGTGGAGGAGGCGGTGGAGGCGGCGGGGGTGGCGGGTCTACGCATAGGAGTGGCTCCGGTGGCAGTCAGCGCCAGCAGCAGCAGCGCGGTCGTGAGACCCTGTCTCCTCAGCAGCTCCGTGAGTGGTACACTGCACGCCAGCGGGGTGGGGGTTTTGGTCCGTGCACCTACGTCCTGCGCACCGGCGACCGTGCGGGTGAGCAATGTGGGGGTGCACATCCCACCCAGCGCTGCTTTGGCCGCCTGACGGACGCGTGGTGACGCCAGTTCCCGGAGGCCGCACAGATCCCTCGCTGGGGCGAGCTTTCTAGGGCGGGAGTTGCTATCTATGATCTTGATTTTGATGCTATTCTTTCAGCCATGTATGCTTTGTCTTTTAGTGATGAGGGTGACTGTTACCGGTGTTTCCCGCCCGATCCGGGCATTGAGACTGCTGCGCTAGGTACTGGTGAGGCGGCTGCCCTAGGTGCTTGCGACGCTGCTGCTCTAGGTGCCAACACATCTGCGTCCTCAGGTACCGGTGAGTCTGCGCTCTCAGGTACTACGCCGGCTTCGGCCTCCCTCACCTTCACCCTTGACTCTCGGGCTTCTCGCTCCTTCTTTCGGGACCGCACCACGCTTACGCCGCTTAGTCGGCCGGTTGCGGTGTCCCTGGCCGACCCCTCTAGGGGTCCTGTCCTGTCTCGCTTCTCCACAGTCCTCCTGTGTCCTGCGGCTCCCTCTGGCACCCTGTCTGGTCTCTACCTCCCCTCGTTCTCTACGAACTTGGTGAGTGGTGTTGACCTACAAGATGGGGGAGTACACCTCACTCCTGCTCGTCAGCGGACGCACTGCACAAAGGCTAGCACAAGCCGACACCTGGCTACGTTTACCCGTCAGCCAGGGTCAAGCCTGTACACACTGACCACTCCGTCTCCTCCAGTTGCTGAGTCTGGTAGAGTAGCTGCGTCGGGTCAGGTGTTTGCTGCACCGTCCAGGTCTGGTCCTGAGTCTTTCCCTTGTTCGTGTCGTCTCCTGTCTCACGAGACTCTCCTCTGGCACCACCGCCTTGGTCACCCCTCTCTGCTTCGGCTCAGAGGCATGGCCTCTCATCTTCTTGCTTTTGGTCTCCCCCGGTCCCTCCCTCCCCTTCCTCAGGGCCCTGGCCCTACCTGTGTCCCCTGTGTCGAGGGGCGCCAGCGTGCTGCCCCTCACTCCTCCCAGTTTCCTCCGAAAGAGGCCCCGTTGCAGACGCTTCACATGGACGTGTGGGGCCCAGCCCGCGTCCGTGGACAGGGTCACGAGCGCTACTTCCTGCTCGTTGTTGACGACTACTCGCGTTACACCGCGGTCTTCCCCTTGCGCAGCAAGGGTGATGTCACTGAGGTGCTGATCGGCTGGATCCGCGCAGCTCGTCTCCAGCTCAGGCAAAGGTTTGGCTCGGACTTTCCTGTTCTGCGTCTGCACTCTGACAGAGGCTGAGAGTTTTCCTCTGCCCTTCTGAGGGCCTACTATCGCGCACGAGGCATCCGTCAGACCTTCACGCTTCCGGACTCTCCGCAGCAAAAAGGGATTGCTGAGCGCCGCATTGGCATGGTCATGGACGTCGCTCGTACGTCTATGATGCATGCGGCTGCCCCCCATTTTCTGTGGCCGTTTGCGGTGAGGTACGCGGCGCATCAGATCAACCTTCACCCCAGGGTCTCCAGGCCGGAGACCTTCCCAGCCTTGCTGTGGACGGGGAGGGTTGGCGATGCGTCGGCGTTCCGGGTCTGGGGATCTCGGGCGTTTGTCCGCGACTTGTGTGCAGACAAGCTGTCCCCTCGTGCTGCTCCTTGCGTCTTCCTGGGGTCCCCCCCTGACGCGCCTGGGTGACAGTTCTACCACCCCACCTCTCGTCGTGTTCTATCCTCCCAGGACGTCACGTTTGACGAGTCGGTCCCCTACTAC